TCCCCTGCGGAGTTCTTTGTGAAAATTTCTGTAATTTCATAGAGATTTTCTTTTTACTGGGAGGCTAGAGAGTGAGAGATCAAATTCAGAAAAAGCCTTTGAGGAATTTCAGTGCTAGAATTGCTTTAGTTTTTTTTACTCTATAACAGGCTCTGTTTGGAGTGTGAACTCTGAGTCACCCATGTTTGTCACTCTAAAGCCTCTCAGCTCTAAAGGATGCTGAGCTTTGGCAATGCTGGTGGATGCTTTGCTGCATCTGTTCAGGGCTGTTTCTGTAGGGAGAGGCTGTATTTCAGGAGCTATGGGCTAACCAGGAATAACTTTCTGCAGTCAGTAGCACTGCTCTGGACTGAGTAGTTTTGCATTGAAAACTCAGTGGAAAATGCTTGACTCATCTGAGTCCTTCGGCCTCACTACCCATCTTCCATTAAGATGGAGTTGGTGCTTCCCACTCTTTCTGTTTTGTCTGACTGAACAGGGAGGATCACTGCTCGAGCTCCAGGGGAAGGTCTGTTTATATTTAGGCAATTACTCAAACACATGGCTGGGGTAATGGTGACGTCCAATGGGCCAAATGTACCATCTTTGCTCTTCTCAACAAGGAGATAACAGAGGCATCTGGGTGTGCAGCATCACAAATATAGACACAGCAAGTTATTCCACAGCATGGAGAGGAGACAGATGGCATGTGGGGGCATATAAATATGCTTAAGGAAAGGAAATCTGGTGCTACAGTCTCAAATAGCACGTACCTTTCCAGCTCCTCTTGCTGGAGTCCCTACTAGACAACCATATCCTGACTCTGCTGGATTTTGGACTCTGGCACATGCTGACATCTGCTGAACAGCTTGAATGGAACTGTCTGAATTGTTTCTGGAGCCTTTTTTCCAGAAAGTAAGACTAAAGTTGGTCCAAATGAAACAGCATTTCTAGCTAATAAAAAAAAATGCTTTTGAAGATAAAAACAACCAGATTCACTTTGTTTCATGCAACAGACTGAACCAGAACATGCCTGTGTTTGATCTGAGGGTTTCCTCATGGCATTTGGCTCAGGGAGCTGGTACCCAAATTCCATTCTTTTCCCTTCCCTTGAGAAGCACAAAATGGAGCTCCTCAGTGACACACAGTCAGAACATCTAGCTCTAAAACCTTTTGGTTTTGGAGGGTGAGCAAGGCAGATGGCTGAAATCCTCCAAGGTAAACCCTACCTGCTGTCTTTTGTAGCCACAAGATTTTCTAAACCAACTCAGGGTTAAAAAAAAAAGCAAGGATAGACTGAAATCAGGGAGCTGACTAGCTGTTTTCTTCCATGTTTGGCACCATTGTGAACTGGGGATCAAGGGTTCCAGTCAGAGATGATTCATCAGACACCAACTCCTGAGCCACTCCTAGCAAGTACACAAAATCTGATCATGTATTCTGGCCAGGAACTTTGTGAAACACCTCCAGGTATAAGCAGCAGAGGCAAGTGTGCACAGCAGAAAGTCTTTCTTCACAGCTGATGAGTTTAAAATAGAAACCCAGTTGCTGGCATCACATACCTGGTACTGGTGGAAATGGAGTATTTGAGTCTGGTGAAGCTTTAGAAACACAAGGGATAAGAAAAGAAGCCCTTGCAAAAGGTGGGTTATATGCATATCTGTCTTTATTTAAGTGGGGCATTCTGCCCTGAGCAGAATTTTGAAAAGGGAGACCAGAAAACCTTCCAGAAGCCTTCCTCCCTCCACTGTGCTCTCAGTTGAGCATGATCCCCCCTATTTGTTTCTCAGCAAGGAATCTACTGATTCCCTGATATCAACATCAGGAAATAATTAGGTCCTTAATTAACCACCTCAGCTATTAAATTACACCAAAAGGAAACAGCTACCCAAAGAACTGTGAACAAGGGTTCTCAGTAACCAGAGGAGAAACCTCAGATGCCCTCTTGGGAAGGAAACAAATGATACAACAGTAAATAAAAAAAAGCACAATAAGGCCAGGTGAGGATGCTTTAAAACAACATAAATTTCAGTTTGTACACTAGATCAGATTTTCTTAATACACATATCCCCAGATTATACTTCCTTTATAATCTGGGTAATAACTTTAAACAGCTACTGCAGAGTTATACTCTTAATGGATTTATGAAAAGTGATACAATTTCAAATACCTGGCAGAGACCTCCCTCTCCTTGTCAAGTAAAAAAAAGTAGACATTTCCAAGACAAGAAGTTGTAGATTGCTTCAAAGCTGTTTTCCTGGTCCTTCTATAAGAACTGAGGGCTTGAAGGCAGAAAAGAGATAATCTTATATTCTCTTCCTCACCTCTGCCAGCATGCAGGAATCAGGATTTAGTAGCCAAGTACCACTGTGGTTTAGACACAAATAAGACTGATTTCATTAGACAGATATCCTCTCCAGTGCCAGCCCTGCCCAGCTTCCAGCAGACCCTCTGCTGACCTTCACTGACTCACTTCAGGTGCTCTGGACTCCTCTAAAACACCCCCGTCCCCTGCAATGAATGCTGGATATCTGAAGGCTGCATGGATGGGGAGCCCAGCAAGCAGAAACACAAAAGCCTGCCCTCATGCCTGGTAGCATTGTAGGAAACCACAGCACTCCCCCTTCAGGGATACTAACCCCCTCAAAATGGGTGAGGATCTGCACAGAGAAACTAAAACCATGATGAAGTACTTAAAATATCCCGATGGGTTTTTTTTGCCCAAATTGATGAATTCGCAGAACAGATGTTTGACATAAAACTGGCTTTGTTTTTAATTGGAGGAGATTATTTAAACTACATCTAAGCCATATGGTCTTGTAAGTCTGACTCCCCTCTGCCATTGCTGGAGAGACCAGCTTGGCATCTCTCTCCAAGTTGTTTCCTTTTTACAGATTTAATAGCTGCTATTTTTCTTTCTTATTACTGGTCCCTAGGTCCCATTACTATAAATCAGGGCCTTAGGCCCAAAATTAATTCAAAGGTGGATTTGGACAAGTCGTTTTGCATGGTTTTCAGTACTAGGTTGGTTTAATAGAACATAAAGGGAAATGCAGATGTGAATACAGAAAATTCACTGGGAGGAACGGTGGCAGTGAGTGGTGCTCATCTCCAAGCCACTAAAGGAAAACCTGGTCCTGCCCCTTTTCCCCTTGCAAGTGTCACACTGAAGACAGTGAATTTTCAGAGGGATTTAGTACACACTAGAAAAACCAGCACATGTTACCAACATGACTGATAGAAGGTGCTGGGTGCCTTCAGGCTTCAGGCTGATGAACATGTGATGGCTGAGGGCATCCTAATGATCTGCTTCAGCTTAATGTTCCCATTAATCATCACATAAAAGCAGGCCACTGCTGCTACAGATAGGCTGCAGGGCTGAGCTCTGCTTGAAGCAAAGCTGACCTTGAGTGGAAGAGTTTGCAAAATTGTTGCATACCAATACCCTCAGATGGTGCTTGGCACTGAGAAAAAGGAACTTGGGAGAGATGATCACTTGTGTTTGAGTCCTCCCTGCTGCTTGCCTTGCCCACTGCACCGTCTGAGCCCTTCCCGCATTGCTGTGGGATCTTCAGCACATGATGGGTTGCAGCTTGGGTCCCAACAGTTAAATCCTGGGGTTTTCATTCCCTTCTCCATAATACTGCCATTTACTTGAGGTGACCTCATTTGCCAAGTGATGTAACAGTGTGCACGATCGAGCCTGGCACGTCGAGGCGGATGTTTTCAGTGGACACAGAAACAGCATTATGAAATGAAAATATCGCCGAAAACCTGAGCAGCACCAGAGATTACAATGGCCTTTATGAAGATCAGCTTACCTAAAATAGCATTGAAAGGCCTTTGGCTGCAGTCATATGCTTCCCTTATAAAATGAAAGATTGTTGCTTGTACTACTGTAATGTGACTCCCAAAGGAACCAGCAGCTGCAGGTTTTGAATTTTATCATTTTTGGCCACTCTGTTTGACAGAGTTGACTGAAGCATGCCCAAAGGACATTCCTCCCATAAAATTTTCTTCCTTAACTCCAATAATAAAAAACGGTTGCATATTTTTCTTCTTGGTGTGTTTTGTTCTAGCTTCTAACAAGGCAATAAATTCTATTTCAAAGAATGTAAATCCAGAGAGTTTGATAGTTGATCTCACTTGCTTTGTTTCAACTGAATAGAAATGCTCATTGACTCTGTCATTTACATTTTTTGTCATGTCATATTATCAGAGAGGGCTAAGTATGAATCAATGAAATCCCACACAAACAAGCAGAAGATTGAGAGAAGCCTGAAAGAACTTGCTAGGTTCATTTATCAAAGGTTGAGCAGAATAATAAGGTCTATTGATAAGCACATTCCCAGCCCCTGCTTAATTTCTTTCCCTGAAGACACTTCCAATAAAATGCTCTGGCTTGTGCAATCACTGTTACATGTAAATTGTTCTCAGATAAATACATTCATTTCTGTTCTTCCATACTCAATTCAGTCAATATAGAGGCCTCAATTTTCACAGACAGACACCTGTGTTTATCCATGGCACTCATACATGTGCTCTTTTGTTCCCTAAAACCACATCTCTCTTTTACTCTCAGTGCATGCAGAGGAAGGTGATATGACCTGAGCTTATAACATCCTCAGGATATTTTACAGTGTGCAATGCAAGAGTGTCCAGGAGAAACAAAAGATTTTGGTAGCTGAATGTAACATTTTCAGCCTGAGATCCAAAGACAATGTTTGTCATTAGCATGCCCAGTGTGTCTCAAACCATGTGGAGGACACATCCAGGGCAGCTCAGTTACTGAGCTGCTGCTAAGAAGGGACAGAGCCTGAACTCTGAGAAGTTCAGTGTGAATTTGACACTGCTTCCTTTGGGTTTCTTTTGCAAATCCTCAACTATATCCCCATTTTATCCTTAATTGGCAGATATAAAGGTAAGTGCTCGGGGAACCACATTTGATTTTTCGCTAGTAACAGGGAAAAAAAGAAAAACTGTAAGGAATTCTCCTTCAAAAAGAAAGTGAATCCATTGCATTTGACAGTGGCTCTGAGTTACTTTATTTCAGCTGGAATAGCAAGGGATTTTGTGGCATCCTAGGTTCAGGTGAGACGGAGAACAGGAGCCCATGCAGGGAGGGAGAGAGGCACTGGAAAGGAAAAGGGCTGTGGGAGCACTGGACTGCAGCGATGGAGGGCAGACAGCAACACGGGTACCTAGGGCTAGACAAAGGAAGATGGTGAATACCAGCAGTGATAATCAGCCAGGCTGATAAACAACCTTGCAATGAAACTTGAGTAATTCCCTTACACAACTTTAATTCACTTTGAGATCAGATTCTCAAGCTGCATACTGGAGACTTTTAAAATAAAGGAAAAAAACATTAATCTTTGCTGCTCTTGCTTCAACTCCACTTCTTATTACTCTTACCTCGACAGTTTGCGTGCCATGCTTGTGCCCTTAGCAATTTACTTGGTATTATTCCATCTACTTAACCTGAATATCCAACAGGGCACTACCTTGGCTGAATATTTCCTTTTTGAGTCAAGAATTACGCTCCCTTAACAAATTCTGTTTTATGAATTCAGTATTACTTCATCAATGCTGGGAGATTTTTGGCATAAACATCTGCTTCCTTTCCTAAAATAAGAATGATAAATAATAAGTAAGCAATTTCCTCTATCCCAGGCAATACAGTAGCAGAGCTATGTGTTCAAACCTCATTAACCCCCACCCAATCTAAAGAAGAAACTGCTGAAATGCTCTGTTTGCCAGACTGAGTCCTAAGTGAAGGGAAAACATGCTTGAAGTAGAAGAGAATGAATTAGCCTTTACTGCATGAAATAGGAATTTATTCTTGCATCACCACATCTAACAATATGGTTATGAGGTGGTGGTTCTTTCAATGCTGAATTTCCACAAGTAAACAATGAAAACACAATGTAAATCATCTTTCCTTCTCAGGGTTCACGAGGCCTTAGTAAGTAGTGGCCCTATAAAGGGTGGGTACTTAGCTTAGCACAGCCCTCACTGTTTCCTTCTCTTCTTTCTGGGCCCCCTTTCTGTCCCTCCAGCAAAAAAGGGACCCTTTGTCACACTGCTCCGTATTGTACCGTAACTAATGTCTGGATTGATCCAAGGTGCAGATAAATGAATCTGCCTCTCTCCTGTATCAAAGGTACTTTTGTCAGTAATATGCACCACTGAAGCATGTGAGAAAAAAAACAAAGAGAGTCTGAAAAAGAGTCTGAAAAGGCCCTGCAGAAAACAGAGAGAAAACTCAGGGGACACAGTATTGAGAGGCAGGTGCACTCTTGGCACACAGGCAGAAGGTTCTGCAGCAGCAGCAGGCCATCTCCTCCTGAGAAGGTCCTGGGCTCCCCAAGGACAGCCTTTCCCACTGCCCCACTCCTGCTGCTCCCCAGAGAGGGCAGGGGCAGAGGGGACACTTGCTGTTGGCTCAGAGGTGGCAGCAGAAGATTTGCCAGTCTTTGAGACTGGCCCCCTTCCCTGGCAGGGCAAACTCAGGAAGAGTCCTATTTCAAAATGTCTACAGCACCTTTTTCTAGCCTTCCAGTGAGAAAGTCACAAATAAAATTGAATGATACAACAGAGATTTTAGATCACATGAAATACCTTTCTGTCAGGCTGAAATCACCAGTAATGGGTGTAAAGAAAAAATACAGATGAGTGTACAACATTTTCCAAACTGAAGCCAAAGAAAATCATTGTTCTTCACAGATATCTCCAGAGAATTTACACATACCACAATGGCAACACTGCTAATGCAACTAAACCTTATTTGTTTCATATGAAGGACAATTTCATCTTCTACAGAAGATGAAATTATTGCTCAATTTTAGTTTTTTTTACCTCCTTGAAACTTGGCAGCCATCGGACATCATCCATCTCTATTAGAATACCATGGGTCATCAACTTTGGCTATTTGAACAATTATAATCCCAGACAGTCCCTTTGCAAAAATTTCTGCAATTTGCTGGCACCACTACATACAGTTGGATTCTAACTGAACAATAAATGTCATTTACACTGATTGGCTCCATTTTCCTTTTCTGGTCACTTTATGTCATTTTATGCCATTCTTTTTCTCAGCCTTAATTCTGCTTTGCAACCCGATATAATTTGACTCATCATCCCTATAATAGGTCTACTTCTCTTTCAAGCTATATGATAGGAAATATTCTGTATCTGCATACTGGTTAGCAATAACAAGGACACACTTTAAGAGAATTATCATGTGTTACCATAGACAAGAAATGCAACTAATTAAATTAATGCTCTAGCCATAGTAACAGAACCTGCATTGACTCTGGACACAGTGCAACACTTTAACTGATTCAAAGTCTTCTGCAAACACAACTTCTGTGGTTTTGCTGGTAAACATGAATAGTGTAGAAAAAATGGACTATTTTCCCTGTCCACATACTTTTCTCATGAAAAGAAGTCAGCTCACTTCTAAGGAAATGTTAGTGCATTTTTCTGGTTTCTAATAATGGGAAGGTAGTCACACAAGCAACACTGAAGGAAGCAAACAAGTGATCTAATCTCCCTTTAAAAAAGAAAAAGTAGCCAGTTAACAGCACTAAAGAAAAGCACAGCACCCACCAGAGAAACAGGCAGGAGAACAGTCATTCCAACAACACACTACAGTGGAATGTTATACATCCACACTATAGATCTGGTATAGTAAATTTGGGTTTCTCTTTTTATAGAAGTGTTTCTAAAAAAACTCCTTTGGTAAACACCAGCAGAGCCTTTACTCCCAAGAAAAGCAAACACACTGAAGGAATTTGGTGCTGTTCTTTTCAAGTACAGGTCTGCTCTCCCCACCATCTAAAAGGATACCCAAAACAGGAGGGAACGGCACTGCTCGAGCAGTGCAATCCTTTTAGCAGGATTTCTCCCTGAGTGAAAGCTCCAGCACCACCTGCTCACGGTCAGAATCTGCTAAAGCTCACAAAAGCTGTCTTGGGACTTGAATAACGCTTTTTAAACCTTCACCAAAGTTGTTTAGAATCAGGGATGGAATATGTAAGAGCCAACATACCTTCCCCTCTGGCAGTTCAACAGGTGTGTGCTACATTAACTAACCCAGTCTCTGTGCCACTGCCACCTTGACGTCATTGTTACTGGGTTGACAAAAGGTTTCCATGACAAACTAGAAAGCTGATCTGTTATCTCCCCTTTGGAGGAAATTGAAATGCCCTCTCTCCCATATTCTGCTAGACCCACCCATCTTGTTTTTGGCACACAGCACAGAGAGTGAGTTTCTGTGATTGATTTAGATTTCCCTCTGTTCTGAAATAGAGAAACCTACTTGTTTGTTGTTTTTCCCTTAACTTAAACTAGAGGGTGTCACTCTCATCCCATTGCAATCCCAACCACCTCACCTACAGCACAATCTTCTTTGTAGGCATGTTGACTACCATGCTCAAAAAGAGAACAGATAACACTGAAAGAGGACAAACTTTGAAGCAATGAACAAAAAAACATTATTAAGACATTTGATTCTCTTCTTGGCTATAATTTATTACCTCTACTAGCAGGCATGACCCATAATAGTTAGCAGATGTTTGGAATATCTCATTTTGAATTTTGCCTAGGATCAAAAGAGATCTTATAGAATTTAAATAGCAGCTGCAGAATAAAATAAGGTTGCCTTTCCTAATGTGACAGAAATGTTCATCCTAGTCTTAAACAAGGAGGACTGTTTTATGTTCTGTAAATACTGAGGAAGCTAAATTTCTGTGCACAGGCACCCACACATTTTATGTGTCTAATTTGCAGCAATTGACATGAAATAAACCCAGTGGAAAAGGCTGGCCCAGCTGCCTGAATGCTTCTTAGGTTTTTGCTACAAAACCTGCAGCTCACCACAAACAGGAGAATAGGGGGATATTTTGGCCATGAACATCAGGTTAGCAAACTTGGAGGTACAAATTTATTTAACAAATTTATTTATTATCATCATTACTATTCTCACTGCATCAAGGGAGAACCCAGCAGTCCTCAAAGAGGATCATGTCCTGGGTATGGAAACGAACCCAAAGAATCTCCAAGGAGCAATAAAATACACTTCCCACCTGCTGTGCAACCCCACCAGCCTTTCTGCCATGCTGGCCCCAGTAAGGTTCCTACCCTGTGCAGCAATGCACAATTATTTAAACACTGGGACTGATGCAAATTCAGCCTCATGGGTATAGTCCCTATGGATCCTCTAGGACTACTGGTTCCCCTACCTCTTGTTCCTATAATAATTAGACTTCAGCTAAGGGTTAGCCATCTGTGTCAGTGAATTAGTTAAGGTTCTGAATTGAGGAAGTCAACTTACAAACAGCTAATATAAAAACAAGTTTAGATTTCAAAATTACTTACTGTTCCCTTTCAGACTGCATGCATTTCTTCTTTCCTTGACACTTTTAATATTTTTTTCATTAATTCCCATACTTGCAGGTTTCTCAGTGTTTGCAAAGATCTCATATGGCAGACATGAGAGCTGAAACAGGTTTTGAAAGACCCACTATACTGAACGAAGATGTCCTTAGCCTTTATGCATCTGCTTTGAGTTAATATTTGTATCCCCTTAGAATACACGAGACTTTTTTTCCTAAGCTAGGCTTTTCCTAGTACATGTGTTTTAGTAACATAAGGTTGCAATATACTGCTCTCAAACAGATGTGATTCTGGAGGCTGTCCTGAGGAGTACTGCTCACCTTTGGAGGGAGTCAAAGTCTAAACCAAAGGTATTCTATTGTTTTTGGGGGAGACTAAATGCCTTGACTCCCATTAAGATAATTTTAAATCCTGCTGTATGACAGATGCTTACAACTAATGTGGCATGTAATATTAAAGATGTTATTACTGAACATGAAAATAGCTAACACTTTTGCAATTCTAATCAACGTACTTAATTCATCATCCCAGTGTGGTTCACAACTCTAAAAGACCTTCAAACCAGTGCAGGACTTAAAAACATATACTTAACCTAACTCTATTCCTGTTGAACAGAGCTCAGCATATGCTTAACATTAAGAGCATGTGTATAATGGGCTCGTGAAACACGTCCTGGTTTATGATTCAGCATGAGAAATCTGCAGCTCTGTTTTCATATTCCTCACATCCACTATGTGCCCACAGAATTACGACAGGCCAGAGGCAGGAAACAGAGGGCTCTGAAACTGGGCTGGGGGAGCCGAGCACACAGCACCAGCCTGGGACACACCAGTGGGGAACCCTGGTCAGGGTGTTCCATTTACAACCAGAGAGCAGGCGAAGGAAAACCACCACGGCTAATTACATACCATAGGTATTTAGCATGAAGAAACTATATGCTGGAATAAGACCCCCAGGTGGTTTTATTGCAGATTTACACCACTCCCAGCAGGTGTCAATACTCCTGACTGGAGAACACACCACCTGCATGTATTTTTTATTTAATTACAGTGATTTTCAGAAACATGCTCTGCGGTGCTCAAAGCACAGTCATTAATCTTCAGTAATCTCTGAACAATTTCAAGTTTTCTGAGCCTGGAGCCCCTCTATAAAGCAGGGACTGTATTGTCTGAACATAGGATTTTATGCAAGGCAGTTACCATGGCAATGTGACAGAGAGGGCAGAACCCAAACAATAATTGAGCATCAAAGAATTCTAAGTGCAGGCAAAATTCAGAGCTAGATTCCATATTAGAGCTATAGGCTGTCCAAACAGCAGATTTAAAAGCTTAGGAAGACTGGATATTATTAGAAGCTCTCTTGGGGATAGCTGTATTCCAGCAATGCATTATCACTGATCTGTTCCCATTATAATCCATCCATTTCATAGAAAACAACATATTTTGTAGGGGAGTGGAAAAGCAATCTAAAGAGGAACAATTGCACATCTCATCTTTGGGTACAGAAAAGAGAAAGAGGGAGGAGGAAAAAAAGGTTATAATCCAAACTGTATTTCAATAGAAAGCCTGGCTGTTGTAAAAATAATAATGGTCTTGGCTAGTCACTTGTTGTGAAATAATGAACCTTGTGCACCTTTATAATATTATTGCAGGCATTGTATAGAGCACCCTAATAAAAATGGATGGCTAACTAAATGAGAAAAGGCTGCTGCATTGTTTTATAAGGCAAGAATCCAGCTCCAGAACACATAAATTGTAAACTCCAAACCAAAGAGTTTATACCAAAAACACAACACAGCTTTATTGTTATTATTACCCTGTTGCTCTTGTATATGCTGCTACAAATGTGTTTTCAAAATAATTAAAATCCAAAAGCCTTAGCAACGGAGCAGACCATAGTTTTGTCTCAACACTGCTGAGTGCCCCAAGCTGTTACAAACCTTCATCTAAGAAAGGTGCTGGTTTCATGTTCATGTGGATTGGTTTGCCACTTAAAAATGGAAACATACAGATATGGAAGGTGAAAAAAAACTAGCAGAAGGCCTGGGACATAGATGATCTTTGTTCTAAATCCATCTCTCTCTCTTGCCCAGAGTTTAACTTGGATGACTCCATTCTCCTATATATCTTCTGAGTCACGGAAATGGGGATGGTGCCAGTCACATTTTCATGAGACAGCATAGAAGCTTGTATTTAACTAATGGTTATTTTTTGCAAGAAACATGCTGTTTGGACTAGCACATTTCTAGCAAGAGAAAAGCCACCTCAGTGCTGGGGAAGTCACCAGCCTCCTCAACACCACTACTGGCCCCTGAGCCTAAAAGAGGAGTGAAGTCGTCCCCTCCATGACAGTGAGATCTGCAGTTATTAGGATGGTCCTATTTACCTATGGAAAGCCAGCCAAGCTATTTGTATCAGCAGCCTGTTCTTTTTGCTCCTGACTGCTCGTCCAGCTGCAGGCATTAGTGACATACTTTTAATTTTTTTGGCTTCTCATGCGTAACCAGCAGTCCCCATGGAGCAGACCCAGCACAGGCCAGCTTCCCACAGAGCTGGGCTGCGTGGACAGTCTCCAGCTACAGCGGAAGCTTCTCCTGAGGGTCACACATCTATGAGGTCCTTCAGACATGTGGAGCCTCTAGTAATGTGTGTGTCCATAAAAACACGTGTTCATACTACTACATTTCTTATAATTAGAGCAAATTCTTGGTTGGTGTCCCTAGCTTTATGTGGATTTCTACAGAAATGATTTTTGAGATCAGAAGCTTCTGTCAAGTTGCTTAAAATTTGTCTAATGTGTACAAAAGTCATCACAGGGCAGAGCACAAAGAGATGTTGAAAACATGAAAGAAAAGGTTGCTTCCTTAGAAAACTAGGTCAAAAAATTTCTCCTATCACAAAGGTAAGGATAAGTCTCTCCAGGATTTCTCTATAAAATTGCCTGCCCTTTAATAATTCTATTTTATCTGTATCTGTCAACTAGCCAGGTTTCCATCATTTAATACATCACATGTTTATTTCCTATTGTTCTCCTCTGTTAGTGAAAGTATCACATGGCTCAAATCAAATGTCTATCACTATTTCCTCTATTAGCTGAAGTATAAACTCATAAAAAAAATCAATCTAGCTTAATTTTATTTTCTACAAACAGGTGCTAACTTGCATTACTTACATGAACAGGGCTTAATACATCATTAACTTGTGCTCTTTATTTTTTATTTCATTGTTATTCCTAGAGCCAATATACCAGGTTTGCAATTCAGTGGTATTAACTACAAATGAGACAGCAGATTTTGAAAACTGCAATGTTTTTATCAGCTGGCAAATGAGGTGGAATACCTGACATGAATCCTCTTACTGTTTTTAGTTTAGGTTAAATACAATTTCTGCAAGTTTCTCAGAATCTTCTGCATTATTTATATATCATGCAGGAACACAAATACCCATTACTATGTCAGTAGAAACCATACCAGCCTTGCTGCCATAGCTTAGACATTCTTGTAGCACAAGAGACCCTTCTATGAAACTTGGACAGATTTGGAAAGCAGCTCCCTAATGGACACGTTAATTAACATCCTGTTAATTAACCTGTTATTAACAGGTCCCTTGTCCTGTTCCTCCTGGACAGGACCAAACCATCCCATATCATTTACAGCTTTAAAAGCAACAGAGGTCAAGGATCACCTGCTCCTGAGAGCTGAACTGCACTGGAATGTTAGCCCTGAACCCCAGAGACTGGAGATAACTCGCAGTGGGTACAATCTGAAGTTGCTCAATGCCAGGACATTAAGTCAGGTGTAGGTGCATGTCTGATTGCTTGCAGGCTGCAATTGTGCTCCTTTTTCTGGGCCATGCTAGAAAATACCTGCACAGCCTCCAGGCTGGAGTGCTACCATCAGCATTGCTCAGCATAAATCATGTAGAGCTCTTTTCACAGCTCCAGGATAAGCAACTTCCACTCATACACTACTATAGTTCCTAAAGTGCCAATGAGGCAGGCCAATCTATGATATGATGGCTTGTTTTATTGTATTAATTTCTGATTCAGTATTATTTGGTTTTACTGTAACCAGTTGTCTGTGCATTTTGATGTTTTAAAGCTGCTTCTTTCCCAATCCACTCCTGGCTGTCTCTGCAGTAATAACAAAATGTGATCTTGGATAGTTTGGCATGTGATTAATAGCTGCTCAGATTGCCTTGGCAGTTTCAGAGTATACTAATTGGGTTAACAAGGTACTAAGTGCTCCAAGGTGTTACGAATGTGTTGTAAAATCAAAAACTCTGCTGTCAAATGCACTCATTACTCACAGTATGTAATTTTCTTGCAAGGAGCCTACTCCAAAAGGCAATATTTCCAGCCATTTCTCCTA